GAGGCAGGGAGGAAGGAAGGAGGGAAAATGGGGAGGGAGGAAGGAAGAAAGAAAGAGAAAGGAGAGTAAATGGGGAGGGAGGAAGGAAGGAAGGAGAGAAAAGGGGGAGGGAGGAAGGAAGGAAGGAGGGAAAATGGGGAGGGAGGCAAGGAAGGAGGGAGGAAGGAAGGAAGGTGCTCTCTCAGTTGGGTGGTTTCCTTGCAGACGTTTCGTGACCCAACTAGGGAACCTCATCCGTGCTAGAAAGGAATGGGATTTGTGGGGGAGGGGAGGAAGAGAAGGAGGAAGAGGAGGAAGAGGAAGAAGAAGGCCACTGGGGGGGCGGGGTGGAGAGACTGACATATTTCTCTTGCTTCTTCTCCTCCCCTCCCTTCTCCCCCCCTCCAGTGATATGACCACCTTGGCGGCGGCGGCCTACCAGCAGGGGATGGCTGTGCACGCTGGGACCCACATCCTCAACATGCAAGGTGGGTGTCTTTGTGGGGGGGGGGGGGGGGGGGCTGAGATCCGGGGGGGGGGGGGGGGGTCATCGGTGGGGTCTGCAGCCCCAGAGAAACAGATGGATGGAGAGAGAGAGAGAGAAGGAGGATTGGACTATTTCTTTCTCTGCCCCCCACCCACCCCCCATTTTTTTATTTAAAAGGGGAGTCCTCGGCTTACGACCAAACCCCAGATTTCCGTCGCTGAAACGCGAGTTGTTCAATGAATTTTCCTCCCATTTGTTTTTGTTTTTTTTTAAAAAAAAAAACGTCGTTAAGCGAATCGCTGCCCTTCTTCAGTGACCCCCCCCCCCCCCCGACTTCGCTCATTAGAACGTCGCAAAATGGGACGCTGCAACCCTCACAAGTACGATTCGGTTGCCCTGTCAACCGTCACCTATAGGAGCCGGTTGTCTGCGTTTGATTCCTTGGGGAACGTGTGAAAAGGGCCGTAATTATTTTTTTTTATGACGGTCGCTAAAGGAACCACTGTTAAGTCGGAGACTTACCCCTGCAGGGATCCTCCTCGACTTATGACCGCCCTCGAGCCCCCCCCCACACACTTCGGTTGTTAAATGAAACACTTCTTTCGGTGGATTTCCACCCACCCCCCTCATTTTACGAGTTTTCTTGCCACCGTTGCTAAACGAATCGCAGCAGCGGCTCACGGTCCTTAAAGTGAATCCAGGTCACCAAAGGGGATTCCCCCCAAGGACCGTCATAAATAGGAGCCAGGGGGGAACCTGCAAGTGGTCGTAAGCACGGGGAAAACAGTCCGAGGTCCCCCTTTTGTTTCAGGGCCGTTGCAACTTTGGACGACCACTAAACGAAATGGTCGTAAATCAAGGACTGCCTTTATTCTGGGGGGGGGGGGGTTGACTCCTTTTAGCATAAGTTTATGAGCCTCCCAAACCGGCTTTAGGATTGCAAGGCAGGCAGCAAATCATATTAGGATCGGTTGCCGTTTTCTCCACAGGGAGCCCAAGTGGGCACAACAGAGCTACCACCCTCATCCCGGCTGACCGTGTCAAGCAGATGTTCGGGCCGCCGGTTATCACGGTAAAGACCCCAACGGTGGGAAAATCAAAAGGGGTGTGTGTGTGTGATAGCCGGTGTTTTGCTCAAAAGCTGGGAGGGTTGGCTCTCAGGCAGCTTGTAGTGTTAGGATTCCGGCAGTCGCCCGTAATTAAATCCTGAGTCTCGAGCCAAAACTTCCAAAAAGGATTTATTTGATATTAACATGTCCGGCACTGCCTGGGTGAAGCTGACTCTGAGTAACATTGTTCATTGTCACCCTTGACCCTGGTTTTCCCCCTCACCCCACCCCCTCCGTCTGTCACAAATCATATTTTCCAACAAGACCCGTCCATAGCCAAGCGTCATCAATCACATTCTCCAACTAGAATTTTGCTCGGCAGAAACTTCGGTCACCTGGTTACTATCTTTGAAAAGCCATTGATGGAATGTGCTTTTGATTTCCACTGCTCTCCCCCACCCCCCCCACTCCCAAATCAGTTGGCCACTCGAAAAAGACCCGAGAAATATTTTAGGAGTTGTTGACATTCGGCTCCCCTCACTTCTTTGAAGGTGACCTGTAGAACACAAAAAGAAAACTTAAGTGGGGGGTGGTAGAAATGGTCCTAGGTCACTTTTTTAAACATTTCGAGCAGACACTAAACCAATAAATGTTTTAGGAGTTGACATTCGGCTCCCCTCACTTCTTTGAAGGAGACCTGTAGAACACAAAAAGAAAACTTAAGCGGACACTAAACGAGCAGTTGTAAGTCGAGGATGGCCTCCACATTGCCTACAACTCAGAGGAAAATTGGGGGGGGGGGTTAATTTGGGACAGGAAGATCCAGAAAAAAGTCCAGAATCATCTTCTGATCCCTTTTATTTTTTTTTGGGTGGTGGTGGTGGGTTGTCTCTTTTCCCTGTCAGACCCGACATTTTGCAACCCAGCCGGCTTTCCCAGCCGGCACCCCGGAACACGGGCAGTACCAGGGCAGCCAATCCGGGCACAGCCCCTACGCCGTGGGGCAGAGCCAGCACACGGTGCCCGTCAGCTACGCCAGCAGCCAGTCCATCCGAGGTAAGCAGGAGGAAAGGAAGTGGGGGCGGACGTTAGTCTGGGAAAGCCCCCTGAGACACGTGGGCAGAACAAGCCAGGACTAAACCAACATCTCACCACCTTCTCTTCCTCTCACCCACCGGCTTCCAGGCCCGTCCGCTTTCTCCACGATGCAGTATCTGCCCCAGCAACAACCTGGTTATGCCATTCACGGTCACTTCCCCGCTGCCCAAGCAGGTGAGTTCCGGTACCAAGGATGGGGAGGGTGCCTGAGGTCATCCATCCCATCTCCTGCTTGGAGGGGGGTGGGAACCAGCCAAAGGCATGTTTCCCCTTTGCCCCTTTTCCCCCCGAAACGCAAGACACATCCAGGATGTTCCTTCTCCATCCTTTCTCCCTCTCTCGCTCCCTCCCTCCGTACTTCCTCCATCCCTTCCCCCATTCCTCCCACCCTCCTTCCTTTCCCCCCCCCTCCCTTCCCTCCCTTCCTCCTTCCCTCCTCTTTCCTTTCTTCTTTCCATCCTCCCTCCCTCCATTCCCTCCTTCCTTCTTTCCTCCTTCCCTCCTCCTCCTCTCTCCTCCCTTTCTTCTTCCCACCCCTTTTCTCATGATGATGCCTGCGCCCTTTTCGTGTCCACTTAAGGTTTCATCCCGCCGAGCAGCACCATCCCACTTCAGAAGCAGCTGGAACACGCCAATCAGCAGTCCGGATTTTCCGATTCGGTGAGTTCGAATCCCGAGTATTTCTCGGCTCGGCCAAGTTCAGGTGCCCGTGGCCAGTTTAGTTCCTGGGGGTTGAGAGGTCAGGCTGGAAACCAGGAGACGGTGAACTCTAGTCCCACCTTAGGCATGGAAGTCGGCTGGGTGACTGGGGAAATCACCAGGGGGCTGTGAGTTCTAGTCCCCATTTAGGCATGGAAGCCAGGAGATAGGGAGTTCTAGTTCCACGTTAGAGATGAAAGCCCGCTTGGTGATTTTGGGACCAATCACCAGGAGACCGGGAGTTGTAGTCCTTCCTTTAGCCATGAAAGCCGGCTGGTTTACTTGGGAAAATCACCTGGAGACAGTGTTATAGTTCCCATTTAGGCATGAATGCCAGCTGGGTGACTTTGGCCCAGTCCCTAGGAGTCTGTGAGTTCTAGTCCCACCTTAGCCATGAAAGGCAGCTGGGTGACTTTGGGCCAATCACTAGGAGTCTGTGAGTTCTAGTCCTTATTGTGATCCTACATGATCCGACGTCATCTTGTCCTGTTTAAATCTGGAAGGTAGAAAGTTTGTCCTATCAGATTAAAAAATAAATAATAAATTTGGGGGGCGGGGGCACCTGAAGGTATCTAGATGGGCTGAGTTGTCCCTTTTCTCCCCCGCCCTCCAACGGGGGGGGGGGTCCCTTCGAGAGAGAGAGAGGTAGGGGGAGTGGGCTGACCACTCTGTGGCTTCCCCCTTGTGTCTCCCAGTCGACCCTCCGTCCGATGCACCCCCAGGCCCTCCATCCGAACCAGGGGCTCCTCCAGGCCTCGCAGCTCCCTGTCCAGATGCAAACCACCGCCAAGGTAAGCCCGGAGGCGGGGGGAGGGAGGTTGGCACAGCCGGTGCCCACCCCCCGTGTGCCCCTTTTGAATGGGGGGTGGGGGGGCACGATTGCAATGTCCGGTCCTTTCCTTTCTCATCCTGCTGGCGAATGTTGGATCAGCCTGTAGTGTTTTTTTTTTTCCACTTTAATTTTGAGTGTAACTCCAAATCCAGACCTCCATGGGTTGCTAAATTTGATTTCCATTGATAATTTTTGTGTGGTTTTGTTGTCAGCACATTCAACTATGTAATGAACAAAGTATTTAATGAGAATGTTTCATTCATTCAGATCTAGGATGTCTTATTGTCGTGTTCCCTTTATTTTTTTGAGCAGTGTATGTATGTATATATGTATGTATGTATGCATGTATGTATATATAGAGATACATACCCTTTGTGTGTGTATATATATGTGTGTGTGTGTATATATATATATGTGTCTATGTATGTATGTATATGTCTGTGTATATACACACACACACTTCCCCACCATCCTATATATATATATATATGTATGTATGTATGTATGTATTCTATTCTATTCTATTCTATTCTATAATATAATATAATAAATATAATATAATTAATAATATAATATAATATAATTAATATAATATAATATAATATAATATAATATAATATAATATAATATAATATAATAATATAATATAATATAATATAATATAATATAATATAATATAATATAATATAATAATATAATAATATAATATAATA